GATTATGCATGTCCGTGAAGTGGTTTCAGCGGGACAATCCATAGCGGGGATGCTCGTAAGGGTCACAGGCAGGTACAGTTGCTCTACTCTGAAAATTCTCTTTCACTGTTGCGAAGATATAATGAATACAAAAATGTAACTGAGCTGCGAGTGTTTCAATTCCTGATACCCCGTCTCCCTCACCCTTCAGGATCCGACCAATAGCAGGGGGTGATGAAACGAGCATCAGGATAGAGGATCGGTCTGGAGCTCTGCTCGCTGTAGACACATCCCGCATAGTCACAACTGGCATGCGGCCCAACAGCCTGTTCCAGTTTCTAGGCAAAATCGATTGGAGAGAAGAAACAACAGAGGAAGACAAGATGGTGAGCTGGTGCAGAGGAGTGCCATGTGCCTGCCTGCCTTCTGACTTCCTGCAAAGTTGACTACAGTCTCGAAAAAACCCATGATAGATCACACCTCTTCTCTACAACCACCAAGAAGCTGTCTCTGCTAGATGGTGCACGTTCCTAATGGCATTCATAATGCACACTTCTGCCTTCCCTCGCTTCACCAACCCGCACTCTGCCCCCACCCAAGCCCACCGTCTTCTCCCCCACCTTTTTGTGTGCCTTGACTCAATCACAAACCCTCCTTTTGAGTTGATCGCAAACTCTGCTGGAGGCTTTGAGGCATCTCCAACTTTATTCACCTTCCTCCTCTGCCCCCCCCTTCCCCTGCAGGTGGTACTAGCACAGCTGGGGCGGTGTGTGGAGGGCATGGACGAGGGGCTGTTTGAGAGGGCGCTGGATCTCAAGAGGCAGTTCGAAAGCACTGCCAGAGCCCCATGTAGATGAGCCTTGCGGCAGGTGGGCTGTGCGGCAGGTGGGCTGTGTGGCAGGTGGGCTGTGCGGCAGGTGAGAGGCGACTAGTGTGGTGTGGATACTGGCAGCGCTAGGAACGGTGTGTGGAGGGCATGGACAGAGGCTGAATGACAGGCGTTGGAGACTGGAGCTGAAGGGGCGATACGACAGCACATCTAGAGCCGTGGGTTTGATGGAAAGAGAGTGTAGAGTGTCTCAAAGTTAGCGAACAACGGAATGATTGGAATAGAAACGAATGGGGTACAAATGAGCAACCCTAGAAGCTGTACCCCCTAGAGTGCAACTCACTATAGCCTATCATATCAATGTTCAACATTTGACACACCCCCATAGGCTAAGTGAGGGGCATCAAAGCAAGCAAGGTGAACAAACGGTCACAAGACCAGTCAAACCAAGAACCAAGGCAAGCTCAGGGTGGATCTCAAGGACACCACACAAATTCCGAGCGCAAGCAAGCGGCCACAAGGCTAGTTCAAGAGTTCACTAGGATATAAATACAAAGCACAACAAGCAGAGCAAGCAACAGGACTACACCAACCGAGGGCCTACCTCAACAAGCCCCAACTGCACACAGAACCTGTGGTGGTCACCAAGCGCCAAGGCCTTGGTGAAGACGTCTGCAGTGTTGGCCTCTGAGGCCACAAAGTCCAGGCGTGCCTGACCGCGTCGCTGCAGCTCTCGCAGGAGGAAGTACCTCACGTCAATATGCTTCACTCTGCTCTCCAGTCGAGGCTCTCGACACAGGAGGATCATGGCCTTGTTGTCAGCGTACAAGGTCGGTGCAGAGCGAGGCCACTCACCAAGGTCAGCGAGCAAGAAGGTCAACCAGCGAAGCTCCTGTGCCGCCATGGCACCAGCGTAGATCTCTGCCTCTGCACTAGAAGTAGCCACAGACGACGACCGTGTAGACCTCCACGACACAGCACCAGCTCCCAGACTGAAGCAGTAACCCTGAGTCGAACGCTGAGTCTCCACGTCGTCAGCGTAGGAAGAGTCGCAGTGACCAGTCAACGCCACTGGCTGAGTCCCTCCAAGCACAAGCCCCAAGCCTGATGTAGTCGCCAGGTACTTCGCCACCCTCACAGCAGCTGTCCAGTGGACAGGGCGGTGTCTCCCAGTCGCAACAAAGCGAGAAAGGATGCTGAGTGGAAAGGCAAGGTCTGGTCGAGTACAAGTCATCAGGTACATGAGGCAGCCCACCAGCTCTGCGTAGGGTCCACTGGACTCAAAGGGCTCGCCAGGAAAGGGGCCCGTGAGTCTGTGGTCAACAGCAAGAGGAGTGGGCTGTGTGGTGGAGAACTGGAAGTGGAACCGCCGAAGGACCTGCTGCACCATGTGTGACTGCGTCAGTGTGATGGTGCGAGCGGCTCTGTCCCGGGTGATCTGCAGGCCAAGGTAGCGCTGCAGCTCACCCAGGTCAGTGCACTTGTGTCTCTTCTGCAGTTCGGACTTCACCTGAGCCAGGGCTGCCCTGTCTGCTGTAGCAAACACCAAGTCGTCGACGTAGACAAGGATAAAGAAAGGAGTAGAACCCGCTCGAACAAACAGCGACGGGTCGGCGGAGGACGGGCTGAACCCAAGGTCACAAAGCGTGGAGCGAAGAGTGTCGTGCCACTCACGGGGCGACTGGCGGAGACCGTAGACTGGTCGCCTCAGGCTCCACTGGGTCCCAGGTGGGAAGGTGTCAGTGAAGCCAAGAGGACGGCGCAGCCAGATCTCCTCGTGCAGTCGGCCCTGGAGGAACGCAGTGGAGAAGTCGAGGGAGTGCAGCTCGTAGTCTCGCTGCGCTGCTATGTGGAGTAACACCTGAAGAGTAGTCATCTTCGGGGTCGGGGCGAAGGTCTGGAAGAAGTCAACTCCCTCACGCTGACTGAAACGCCTAGCCACGTAGCGCGCCTTGAACACCGGCGGTGCTCCAGGCGGCCGCTTCACCTTGAAGAGCCACATGCCATCGACTACGTTCGCCCTGGGAGGGGGAACTGCGTCGACGTAGGTGCCTGTGGATCTCCAAGACGCCAACTCTGAGTCCATAGCCGCTTTCCACTGAGAGGCCCACGCCCCTGACACTGCCTCGCGGTAAGTGCGAGGAGTCGGTATGTCAAGGGCGTCGGGGTCTCCCTCAGGGGAGAGCAGCATGGCACACACAGAGGGAGAAGCGGCTGCCCAGTACTCCAGCTCAGACTCTCTGTCCTCTAGGACGTCACAGCCAAGGGCAAACCCACCCCCGACGGACAGAGGATGGTAGGGAGGAGCTGGCACCACACGGGTGGCGTAGTCAAGGCGGCTGGCGGCAGCAAACTCAGCGACAGCGGCAGTGAGAGCCGAGACAGACGACGGAGGGAAACGAGGGTCGGTGACAAGAGTGGTGAGGACACGTGCGGCAACAGGACGAACAGCGCGGTAGTAGTCAGAGATAGGAGTGGGGAGGGCAGGTAGAGAGGACGGAGGAGGCGACGGGAGAACGGACACAGGAGAAGGAGAACGACGACGAGACGAACAAAGGAGGGCAGTGTGGAGGTCAGTAACAGGGGACGAGTGACGAGCACGCGGAGGACAACGAGTGATCAATTCGCGACGGACAGAGGGAGGAGGAGACTGAGGAGGAGGAGAAGACCAGACCGCCGGACGGTCGTCAGGAGGAGGCAACGGAGGAACAAACACAGGAGGAGACTGGGAGCGGACAGGAGGAGAGGAGGAAAGGCCAAGGGCCCGCAAGCCACTCACAGGTGGGAACAACCGCCGCTCTAGAGGAAGCTGCGGTGGCGGCTGCGGCCGCTGCGGCTGCGGCTGCGGCTGCTGCTGCTGCTGCGGCTGTGGCTGCGGCTGCGGCTGCGGCTGCTGCTGCTGCTGCTGCTGCTGCTGCTGCTGCTGCTGCTGCTGCTGCTGCTGCTGCTGCTGCTGCTGCTGCTGCTGCTGCTGCTGCTGCTGCTGCCGCTGCTGCTCCAGAAGGTCCAGCACCCGCAGCTCCTGCCGCTCCCTCTCCAACCGCTCCTGCTCCTCACGCTCACGCCGACGGGCAGCCTGGAGACGCGTGTCGTGGCGGTGGGGGGGCGGGGTGGACTCCGCAGAACCAGGGTCTCCAGCGTCAGTCTCCTCAGACTCAGCACCCCCAGAACCAGTACCGCCAGTGCTAGGACCTCCAACTCCAGCACCCCCAGAACTAGCACCGCTAGTGCCAGCACCCCCAACTCCAGCACCCCCAGAACCAGCACCTCCAGTGCCGGCACCTCCAGCTCCAGCACCCGCTCTCCAGGCGACCTGGTGCCAGACACCACTAGCTATAGCCGTAGGCAGTTACGGGGGTGTGTTGAATTATATTTGCATATCCTGTTATAACTGCCTACAGCTTGCTAGTGTATTAGTTAGATATTAGGTTCAACTGCTGGTGGTGTACGCTTTTCCCCTTCCTCTCCTTCCTATTTGTACTCCCAACTTCATAATGAAAGCCCCTCTTTTGGCCAAACTTCTCCCTCCATGATTCTCCTTGCTAAACCTCTCCTAAACCTAAGTACTGCATAGTCATGTATCGGAAAATAGAGTGGTCATGTATTGTAGAATAGAGCGGTCATGTATTGTAGAATAGAGTGGTCATGTATTGTAGAATAGAGTAGTCATGTATTGTAGAATAGAGTGGTCATGTATTGTAGAATAGAGTGGTCATGTATTGTAGAATAGAGTGGTCATGTATTGTAGAATAGAGTGGTCATGTATTGTAGAATAGAGTGGTCATGTATTGTAGAATAGAGTGGTCATGTATTGTAGAATGGAGTGGTCATGTGGGCAATAGTAACATGAGAAATTTGTAGTTGTACTGAAAGCTGCAGCTTAACATGCCATGCCCTTGACATACACAACTTTTACCAGTTATCAACGGGTTTATTACAGTGTCACATGCAGCAGCATGCTGCAATGCAGAAAGGATGTAGCCTATAGAGGGGCTAATTACAAAGGCTCGCACCTACCGCTCGCCATGCAATACAATAAAGACGGGCTCCTGCCATGCACTCGGCACAGCTTGATTTTGCACGGCATGGCAAGGGCTTGACCCGGCCTGTATAGGGGTTGGTCCGCCTGGATCGGCACACAGCAGAAGCGCAGCACGTGTGCAGAGAAGCAGGTGCAAGGGCATCAGGGGCATCAGGAGTCGATCTCCTGAGGCAGCTTGGCCTTGCCCAGATACACATACTCCATCTCCGCCTCCCATGCCTGCTCAAGGGGTCACATGGGGGAAACGGGAGGAAGGAACAGCAGCAAGCACAGCGTTGAGGTGCGGACACTCTTACTCCATCTCAAGAAAGATGCTTGGTGACTCTGAGTCAAATGACAAGTCCCCGTTGCAATGCCACACACAACATCTTTTGTTCACGTGGAGCGGCACACAGTAATGCCCTGTGATGCACTCTTTGCATTCCCCCAATATGCATACTCTGCATCCTCCCATGCATGCAGGGATGGGACAGGGAGTGTGGCACCTGGTAGCGGAACTCGACGCGGATGTGCGGCACGTTGGTGCGGTGAATGTCGTTGCTGTCGGGGCCCCGCAGGAAGTAGCGCGGCCCAATCCAATGCGCCTGAGTGGGTGGGTGGGGAGGCACGGGGGAGAGAGAGAAGCACAAGGGGGGTGGTGCGGCTGTGGCGGGTGATACTGTAACAAGGTGCTCTGAGCAATGAGTCCACTGGGAAATCATCTTCATGGGTAGTGAGGAAGGAGCACAAGAGGATGATACATGAGGTAAAACGCTTAGCTTAGGAAGAGGGGGGGGATGGGGGGTTTGAGTGACGAGGGGAGGAGAAAAGGGCAACCAGCGGGGGGACGGTAGGGGAGAATGAGATAGAGGGAGCTGCAACACATGAGGCAAGAAACCTGGATTGGAGCGCAACAGCACACCAGGCGAGCAGGCGAGGTAGGTACCTTGGTGGGGTGCCAGAAGCCTGACTGGTAGACGGAGTTGCGGGCGATCTCACACAGATCGCATGATGTCAGGCGCCACACCTGAAGTGAGAGAGGGGAGGGGAGAGGGGGGGAGGGGTGGGGTAGTGGGGTAAGTGGGTGTGGGAGAGAGAAAAGGGGAGCGTGGGGAGGGAAGGCAGGATGAGCAGATGATGATTTCAGATGTGGCAGGAGGTGAGGCGCCTGATCTGATGCACAAGAGCGAGGGAGGCGCTGGGAAGGGGCAGGGACAAGTGCGAAGATACAGTGGTGAAGGGTTCGTTACAAGGTAAGATGGATCCCGAGCACATCGTGAGTGACATGTGTGTATTGAAACCACCAATCGCTTAAACAACTGGTGCCTGAGCGGTGATGCTGTACCCACCTGAGCAGCGATGCTGTACCCACCTGAGCAGCGATGCTGTACCCACCTGAGCAGCGATGCTGTACCCACCTGAGCAGCGATGCTGTACCCACCTGAGCAGCGATGCTGTACCCACCTGAGCAGCGATGCTGTACCCACCTGAGCAGCGATGCTGTACCCACCTGAGCAGCGATGCTGTACCCACCTGAGCAGCGATGCTGTACCCACCTGAGCAGCGATGCTGTACCCACCTGAGCAGCGATGCTGTACCCACCTGAGCAGCGATGCTGTACCCACCAAAGCAGCGATGCTGTATTCCTCGATGAGCGGCTCCTTGGTGAGGTGGATCATGAGGGGGTCGTCCGTGGAGAGTTTGTTGAGAGGCACGGGGTTTGTTGGCAAGATGGATCAAGGGCACACCGCGAGTGCAGCGGTGTGATGGAATGGAACTAGCACCCACCTGTGCAGCGATGCTGTATTCTTCGACGAGGGGCTCCTTGGTGAGGTGGATCATGAGGGGGTCGTCCGTGGACAGCGACACGTTCAGCCCGCGTGCAAAGAAGAGCGGGAAGGGGTTCTTGTGGTAGTCCAGGAACAAGGAGTTGTTGCTCAGCGGGGACATGGCCAGCCCGATCTGCGCCAGGTAGTACAGGTGCTGCAGGGCCGGCGTGCGCCGCAGGTTGTTGCCGTGCGCTATGTTGTGCGCCGTCAGGAACGTGGCGGCTAGGTGGTCCACGTCACCTGCCTGGCATGGGGAGCACATGGGGGGCCCGGGCGGGGTTTGGATGGGGGAAAGGGGGTTAAGGAGGGGAGTGGAAGGCAGAGAGCAAGGTGAGAAGAAGCTTGTTGCTGTGGGAAATGGTGTGTGATGTGGTTTGGGTGACACCTCGCACAGCTCCCCACTTGATCACCCCACCCCACCCGTTTTTCCCCTGTCATTCCATCTCGCCTCCCCCTCCCCCTCCCCGTCTCACCTCAACCCCCCCAGCCTCACCTCTCCAGAGTGCGGGCGGAACTTGAGGATGGAGAGGCCCTTGGACTCGCGCAGCTGTGCTCGTGGGGGGGGGGGGGGGAAGAGGGGGAGGTGCAGGGCAAAGAGTGACGGATGGGAAGAGAGAGGGGCCGAGGAAAGGGAACGAGCACGCGGATAGAGGAAGGAGAAGGCGAAGGGCAGAAGATTGGGATGAGAAAGACTTTCAGAGATAAACTACCTGTGAATACGTAACGTCACATGGGGCGAGGTGGGGTGGGTGGGTTGCAGAAGAGGCTTTGCAACTTAGAAACAGAGTGATAGGCAGGGGGAACAGCAGGCAGGATGAGAGCGTGCCAACAGGCAGAGTGAGGGCAGGGCAGGGCAGGGGACGGACGCGGTTGAGTTTGAGGAGGTTGGCGTAGACGTAGTAGGTGTAGTAGGCATAGGCGGGGTTGAAGGGGTTGGTCCACTCCGCCGGTGTTATCATGTGCTTCGTGGGGCGCCGCTCCGGCCGGCTCTCATCGTCCACCATGTCAAACCCCACCACCTGGCCAACGGGCAGGGCAGGGCAGGGCAGGGCAGGGCAGGGGACACACGGGGGGTGCCATAGAGGGTGTTAAGCGACGCAGAACACGCAGGCCACGGTGTGAGAGCATGTTCAGCTTTTCAGACAGTGTGACGGACTGCTGTATGCAGTGCAACAAGTGACGTGCACTCACGTGGTTGAGGAAGATGTGGAGGTGCGGGTGTGAGGAGGGGTCAACGGTGACTTGGAAGAGCGGCAGGAAGATGTTGTCCAGCATGGTCTGAAAGGACGCCACTATTCCCATGTCCTTGTACACGTTGTATAGGCGGGGCAGCTGGTGTGGGTGGGGGGATGGGGGGGAGATAGACGGATGGACAGAGAAGGAGAAAGGGCGGGAAGGGAAGCAGCTACTGGGGAGGCGCGGGTAGCAAGGGAGGCAAAGAGATGGTGCAGCGGAAGCGGCAGAGAGGGGCGAGGAGGGAAGGTGCTGGGTGAAGGGATGGCGAGGCTGGCTGACTGTAACATGCATACCCGTAACAGCCGATCATGACTGAATCACACGCATACAGAACCGCCTGACTTACCTGGATGAGCCAGACGACGTTGGGGCAGTAGAGGTCGTTGTTGACCACCCAGCTCGCCAGCTGGTCCCACTCACTCATCTTGCGCCCATAGATCGACACCCTGTACTCCGCCATCTGCCCGACCACGCAGGGGGGGGGGGGGGAAGGGGGGGGCAAGGCGTGGAAGGGAAGGGAAGAAGAAGGCAAGGGAATGGGGGAGGTATGATGTGAGGCAGACGCAGAAGCAGGGCAGGAGAGGGAGGAGGGGATGTGGATGGGTTGACACACAACAGTGCGCCACAACGACGCTGGATCAAGTGACAGCAAGTGCAGTAACGCTGAGGAGGCCTTGCTGCTCCTCGCCTTGCCTGCTGCCCTCACCTGGTACTTGGACGCCACAAGATCCGTGAACACCTCCTTTGTCACCTCCGCCAAGAACCTTCCTGGAAGGTGGTGAGGTTGGTGGATAGAGAGGCGAGACGCGCGCACAAGATGAAGGTGCAAGAGGGAGATGCCGGAAAAAGGGAGTGGCGTAGGGAAAAGGGGCAATAGGGCGGGAGGGGTTGGAGGGGGAGGAAGGAGGGACGAAGGTAAGGAGTGGAATGACATCAAAGGGAAAGAAACAAATAGCAGAGGGGCAAAAAAGGGAAGTGGAAAAAAGTGTATGTGCAATGTACGGGGGTTCAAAGGAGGAAAGCTCTCAGAATTGCGAGCGGGTGTGATGGTGGATGGGGCATCTGACCCTGAATGAGGTTGTCCTGTTTGATGAAGATCTCCCGCAGTCGGCTCTGCCCGCACGGGTTGTACTTGAGGTTGAACTTGTCAAAGCGATGAAACGTGTTCTTGTCCGCGTGCACGTCCAACAGATCCACGTTCAAATCGTAGCTGGTAGGGGGCGGGGGGGGGGGGGGACAGGTGGGGAGAGGGACGGAGAGGGAGGGGATTGAGCAGATGAACATGGTGGAGTGTGGAAGGGGTGTTCTTGATGACATGAACGGCCAATTAGAAGGGTGGCGTTGAGTTCCACTGGGGTGGTGAGACGCAGGGGCTGTAGGGAGAGAGGCACTGACCCGGTGAGGTCGAGGCTCTCAAACACCTCCTTGAGCGTGAGGTACTTGCCGTCACGGAAGATCACCACCTGACCACACATCACGCATTCATGCCGAGCACAGGCAAGCACACACGCATGAGTGAATGAGTGAAAGTGAAGCCCATGGTTGAACGAAACTTATGGCTGCACGGCACGCCCTGTGCCGCCCATTCATGTCCACCCCGCTCTCCCACCCCACTCCCCCACTCCCCCCACGTCCCAATCCTTCAACCCCCTCACCCCCTCCCTCTCACCTCGTCGGGCTCCTTGCGGAGCTTGGACTTGATGAAGCGCAGGAGGTGCTTCTGGTTCATGCAGGCGCTGTGATGCACGTGCGTGTCCACCTTCCTCACGTTGTACAGGTCGCGGTGCGGTGCGCTCTTCTGCGCCTTGAACTCGCGATCCGCGTTCAGCGTCAGGTGCAGGTGGTACCGCTGGGGGAGGGGAGAGGGAGGGGTGAGGAAGGGAAGAGAATGGGCAGCGGGGGAGAGAATGGGAACATAAAGGTTGGCGGCGCACATAGAACCCTATACCCTAAACACAGTGAACTCACAGTCTGTGCTGGGCCAGCCATACCGGCCATACAACCCCAACACACTCTCCCAAACAATCGCACCATCCCCCACTTGCCCCCGCCACAGCAGAAAGCAGTAAGCAGCACAGGCACACAGCCACGCACCCATAATGGAGCAGTGGGTGCTGCTTCCATGTGTGTGCTTGGAGTGGTGACCTGCGTGGTGGGCTGACCTGTTCGAGGAGGCGCAGGCGGTGGAAGCAGAGGGAGCGCACGTGGCCCAGGGAGGTGATCTTGAGGATGCGGTGCAGATCGGTGAAGAACGTTGTGGCGTCGTGCACTGGGAACAGCTCCTCGCCCCGCTCCTTGGCTGGTGGGGGTGGGGGGTAGAGGGAGATGATGTGGCATGGCATTAGCATGTGATGTTCAGAGAATGGGGAGAGTGTGGCGGTATCAGGCACTGCCGCACACAATCTACAGGATGGCATCGTATCACTGCACCATCTCACGCTCACCCACACACCTTCTTTGTCTGCGAATATCTTCACCACACCATCCACCATCTCGATCACATGCTGCCATGCCATGGCAGGGGGGACAGCACACATCACAAGAGCACCATGCACAGGACAAGAAGAAAGACACAGAAATCACAATGCCCTGAGCCTTTTGCACCAATCTTTGTTCGGACCACTGTCGCTTCAAAATCTCCACAGAGCGTACGTTCCAAGCAAGGGGCTCGCATAAGAGGCCTGTAGTATGTAGAGTAGAAAAATCCGTAGGTGAGGGGTTGCTGGGGTGGCATGGGGAGGGTGTTGGCGTCTGGCAGCCATGGGCAATAGACAGGCCCTGGGTATAAGACGCACCGTATGATACCCCACTCAATTCCAATGGTAGAGTGGGCTCTGTGGGACCGTAGCATGACTCACGTCGGAGGGCGGGAGCGGGTCGTAGCGGAAGGGATCGCTGGGGTCGGGCATGGGCAGCGCGTTGGCGTCGGCATGCCAGGGCTTCACGGCCTCCCTGAACACGTACTTGTCCCTCAGCTGTAGACACTCCTGCAGCAACACACACACCTCCTCGTCCTCCGCGCTCGGCATGTCTGCGCGGAGCCGGGGTGGGGGAGGGAGGGGCGAGAGGAGGGGGTGGTGAGGAAGAGGAGAGCAACACGCATACCTCAAGTGAAAAGGGGGAAAAGCGCGAGGTGGAAAGCAGAGAGGGGTTGGAGAGGTGGAGAAGGCAGCGCATGCACCTTGCGGGTAGAGGTTGAGGCGCACGTAGTCTTCCACCTCTGGCGCCTTCCTGAGGCGGTCCGCCGTGCCGGGGTCAGACACCGGGTGGTGAATGCTGTCCTGCACGCTCACCGCCCTCTTCACCCGCGCCTCCCCCCGCCCCTCCGCCTCCTTCTCCGCGCCCTCCCCGCCCTCCCCCTCGCCCCCCTCCTCCAGCTCCTCCACCATCACCTCCTCCCCCTCCTCCCCCAAGTCCTCCTCCTCCGCCTCCTCCTCCGCCTCCTCCGCGCCCATTCCCCCCACCACCGACGAGTGCGCGCTCACCGAGCGAGGCGGAAGCAGGTCACCTTGGAAATTGCCTGGGGGAACAACGGGGGTAAAGTGGAGGGAGGGAGGGAAGGGGGTTTTGGGCAGGGGAGGCATTCACCACCAGAGAACGAGGCGGTGAAATGAGCGCCATTAGTTTTGATCCACCCGCCACCAAGGAAGTGCGCGCTAACTGTGCACGAGGGCCGCTTGCAGGAAATGCGCGGAGCTGGCCAGGAAGAAACCATTTGCGCGAGCCCCGTTCTTGAAAGCACTCCGCCCTCTCGCGGATGAATGGACCTCGCGCACAGCCACACGGCGGCAGGATGAGCGTGCGACGGCGGCGGCAGCGCACGCACCTTCTCGCAGTCCCGACGCCACTGCCGCCGACGCGTTTGCCGCCGCCAGGCGCGCGGCGCTGAGAGCCTGCATGTCCTGCCGGTCAAGAGACGACGCAAGTTTCCCGGGCAGACTGCCCGGACTGAAACTGCCCGCGAGCGGGTCGAAGGCGTAGGGATTGGCGGCGTTCGACTGGGAGTTCCGGTGGCTCCGCTGCTGCGGGCGCAGCGGCACGCCCGGGGTGGGCGCAGCTCGGCGCGCAGGGGCGGTCGTGACCTTGCGCATCTTCTGGGGCTTCAGCTGCGAGGGGGGGGGTGGGTGGGAGGGCGGGATGGCGAAAAAGAGACGGGTGGGGGGCGCAAGAACACCAGGGTTAGGGCAACGGCTTGGCGCGCAGCAGCGGGTGGGGTCACACACGGAAGGGCGGCAGTGGTCGAGGAGGGGAACGGGCGGGAAAAACGCGCGAGTACGGAGCAGGGCGAGGGGAAAGGGAGTAGGCGTGATAACAAGGAGTTGCGTTGGGATGAGCAACGAGGTAGGGTGGTGGTGGTGCCATGGTCGGTAGCTCGCATGTCAAGAGGCGACGGTCGCATGCCAAGAGGCGACGGTCGCATGTGATGGACATGAGAACATCCCTGGGTGTGACTCCGGATGGGCAGATTTGTTCACGCAGATCCCACTACGACCTTCAAGGCGACTCGTCTGACTTGCTCCATCAACAACATTGGACCTGGGAAAGTTCTGGCGCCTAGAAAAGGCTGAATAATTTTCCAGTCCTGAATCCTAAGAGGAAGCGCGCGTCCTTCGTTTCAAGGCTGCGAGATTCACAAAACGCACCTTGCCATCCTGCTCGGCGAACTTCGCGAGCGCCTGCGAATGGAAGTAGTACGACGCGGCTGCCGCCACCACGGCGCCGGATCCTGCGGCCAGCAGGAGCGCAGCCCAGTTGCTGCCGTCAGAGGCTGACGTGGCATTACCCGCGTGTGCCATAGCTAAACGCTGAGGAAGCGGGGGAAGTTTTAGCAGGCCTAGACGAAAGACGAAAAAAAAAAGGCGGAACTGCCTAGCGGCCCGCCTATACGAGCGCACCCGCTAAACTAAAAGGGCAGCGCTTGTTTACGGGCGAGCAGCAGACAGAAGGAGGCGCGCCGTGAGGTGAAAGCTCGCGGCCCGTGGAGTATAGTGGGCCTTGCGGTATTGTGAGGTGTGGGGTTGAAGGCGGGCTTTGGTACACTTGTGCTTGGGGGTGACACGACTGTGTATGAACGTAGCTAACCGTTTCAAAATGTAAACGAACCGCTTTGCCATAACACATGTTTCTTGGCTTAACTCCTGCAACTGATGGCACCACTCAGCCATGCTAGTGAGATGTGATTTTGGCATTGTGCTGCCCAGAAACGCGGATGGATGTCGTGGAGCCAAGCCAAGGTGATGTGGGTGATGACTCTGATGACGCATTTTTAGCGAGATAGCGAACAAGATAGCGAGAAAGTGATGACGCATTTTTGCAAGTTACCACTTTTGCATAACAAACCACCTTCTGTACACAGCTTTGCACTTTGCAACGTTTATAACGACGGTGCTTTGCTGATACACAAGAATAGTCTCTATGAAGATTTCGTGTTCAGCAGTTCATGTACAGCTCCGAAATTCCTCAGGAGCCAGGAGACACCGTGACTCACGCAAGTCCACAGAATTCTAGCTTTCCCGCCATGTTGTTTGCCTGAAGCGGAGATTGCGCTTTTCGCATGGCACGCGACGCGACATGTTCCTCATTTTTCTCCAAATAGAGAATCTGTCGTCAACGAGGGGTATGAAAGAAGGGACGCTCCAGGCAGGTTTTGTTTTACACCTTTCCTGTGCTTTCAGCCAGCAACGCTCGGCGCAAATCCACGAGACCCCCACCCCCACCTGTTTCAGAAGCATTCCCGTTTTGGAGGAGCAGCCTTGTGGTAGAGTTCATGCAGTCGAGATCGTCCAATTTCCAATCAGGGCGATCTTGGTTGTAGAAACAAAGCTTCCTGGCACACGCGCGGAACGTAGTCTCTTCCCCCCCACCACATCCTCACTCCCATTGTCACCGTTTTGCTCTTCCGCAACTTTGTGTTCGACAAAGACAAGAAGTTCGTTTCTCAAGCCCAGCGATGCGCCGCGCCGCAGTTGTTGCCTAATCTCCTTCCAGTTGTATGTCGCTGCTCCATTCGTCGGCCATCCTTATCGCCACGATCCCGCCCCAAACTGTTTTCCGCGGAACGTAGTCTCTTCCTTTTCCGAGTATTATCTAGGCCGGCCGCAGCCTCTACTTATAGCACAAGGCACTGGCTTGCGAGTCATTGGGACCTTTTACCTGCAGAGTTCGTTTCTGCTTGCCGCGTCGTCGCTTAGTTTGCTTTCTCCAGCACTATCTCCTTAGTCCCCACCTCATCTATTTCCATTCCTTCATCCACATCGCTCATCTTCTTGAGTGCCTGTTCTCTTCGTCGCATCCACTCCCGAGTGCTCTTTCTACCTACTCTCCCACTTAGCGGCCTGCGGCCTTCGTCTCACTTAGCGTCCTCACGGCATCGTCGGGGCATTGCCGCCCTCGCGTTGTTTACCTGACTGCACACTCTGCTACGGCCGCCCACTCTGCTACGGCCGTGCTGCGTCAGTTTGCGGAGAACGACCATCTGCCCTTTCCGCCTCCTCCTGCGCCGCCATGCCGCGCCCTCACGCACCCCTCTCCGCACTCCCGCGCCTTTGCGCCGTGATTCTCTGCGCTCTCGCCGCTATTCTCCCCGCGGCCGCTGCCGGAGCTCCCGCCGTAGATGTCGCGGCGCTTCTCGCCTTCAAGGCCGCCGTCACCAACGACTCGCTCGGTGCGCTTGACACGTGGATTTACGGTCCCAATGCTTGCGCGTTTGACGGCGTGTCTTGCAGTGGGAGGGAACCAGACCGCGTCTCTTCGATTACCCTGTCGCAGATGTTCATAGAGGGACAGCTTACATCGGATCTTGGAGAACTGGACCAATTGGAGCGGCTGGAGCTGGATGGTAACCAGTTTTCGGGCGACATTCCCGACGAACTTAGCCTCCTGACGAAACTAAGCGTGCTGAACTTGGCGCAGAATAGGCTAACTGGGCAGTTGAAAGAGATCATGTCAGCACTCGTCGGCCTCCACTCCCTCTCGCTCTTCTCGAACCTCCTGACCGGTAGCCTGCCCTCACAGATTTTCAAACTGCCCGACCTTGAGTTGATTGACGTCAGCGACAACCAGCTGATTGGCGGTCTGCCCGGAAATGTTTTCCGTTTCGCGACGGCCCTGACATCCCTTTCCGTGGGGGTGAACAGCATGTCGGGGCCGATCCCAAGCACGGTATCTGACATGTCGTCGCTGGTGTCGCTCGACCTCCGCGCCAACAAGTTCTCCGGCGCGCTTCCTTCCGCTCTCGGCCATCTCCCCCGCTTAGAGTACCTCGATATAACAGTTAACCAGTTCACTGGTGGGATTCCCGGCAGCTTTAATAATCTTGACTCGATACAAGCTCTTATTATGGCGGACTGCGGCTTATCGGGCCACATCCCTTCGACTTTCTTCACGGGCCTATCAGACACCCTTCAAGTCCTCGATTTGGGAATAAATGCGTTCACAGGCAGCATTTCCCGCTTCGCTACACTGACAGAAGCCATCTATATCGAGCTATCCGATAACGAGTTCACGGGGGGCATCTCGTCCGCGTTCGGGTCGCTGCCCAAGCTGCAGCAGATCGGCGCGTCCAATAACCAGCTCACGGGCTCTCTGCCGTCCGCCCTCGCAAACGCGCCGAGCCTTGGGAGCATCCTCTTCGACGGAAACCGACTGACAGGTTAGAGATCCCTCTTCTCCCACGTACGTTTCACTTTCCTGTTTCCTTGCCCTTTCTCGTCCCTTCCCTCCCAAATGTCAGTTGTACATCTCTCCCTTGCGCCCTCTTCCCCTTCGTTCTCTTTTTCCCCCCACCCTCCCTCCCTATTTGACCTTTCAGTTGACTCAATAGTCACCCTGGCCCCTCTTCCCCCTCGCTCTCCTCTTCCCGTCCTCCTTTCTCCCCTCCTTCCCTTCCACCGCCCGCACCCCTCCACCCGCCCCACGTACCAGGCAAGCTGCCCTCGGCGTTCAGCTGTGCAAAGCAGGGGCTGATGGCGCTCTACCTGGGTGGCAACCAGCTGCACGGCGCCATCCCCGCCGCGCTCGGCGGGTGCAAGGACACGCTGTACCAGCTCGACCTCTCCAACAACTCCTTCTCCGGCGCCATCCCCTCCGCGCTCGGCCACCTCGCCGAGGTGCGCAACTTCTCAGTGGCGCACAACAACCTGTCGGGCAGCGTCCCTGCGTCACTGGCGGGCATGCGCAGCATGGAGGTGCTGGACCTCGCCTCCAACCACCTGCACGGCGCCATCCCCGCCGCGCTGGGCCAGCTAGATGGGCTGCACGAGGTGCATGTGCAAGGCAACGACCTGTCTGGCCCGCTTCCCTCCCAGTGGGCTGCCTTCCCGGTGGCTTCCTTCACTCCTGGGAACACGGGACTGTGCGGTGCTCCTTTGCCTGCTTGTGCTGCAGCGAGAAGGCTCCTGGCTCTTGCATAGCGCACCAGAATAATCAGAGACTCACACCAGGAATATCTGGAGGAACTTACTTCCATGGCCTGTCTAGGTGCCCTATGCCTTGCTTGATGCAGTGCTGATGGAAATGGTGGTCGGCTGGTGTGGGGGAAACCACCACCACCACCAACTCCACTGCTCCTCCACCTTCTGTGCTGCAGTGTCACACCATCTCCTTGTGCATCCCTGATTTCGTCTTCCTGCTACACAGCCCGTGTCATCTTCCGACATGTATTAATTGGCTGTAATCAGTTTGTTGTGCAAACCAAAGCCACATCCAACATCTCTCAAAGCCTTAGAACTTTCCGTACCCAAATAGCAAGTGTAAGGGTACCGTACATTGGGGCTGGTGGAACTTGATCAAACTTCACTATGTAGTCCGGCTGGTGAGACATGTTCCCAGCTCCTTGAGACTGGGGGGCAAGCCACCAAGCATCGATGAAGCTATGTAGTAGATGAACGGCTGTGCGGCTGTGCCTAAGAGGTGTTGAAGACATGGCTCCATGGCGGGAGATGATATCCGGGCGGGAGAGAATATTCGGGAGAGGATATCTGGGAGAGGATATCCGAGAGAGGATATCCGAGAGAGGATATTCAGGAGAGGATAACCGAGAGAGGATATCCGGGGGATGCTATCCGGAAGATGATGTCCGGGAGATAAAATCCGGAAGACGGAAGATTATATCCGGGAGATGATATCCAGGAGTTGATATCCGGGAGAGGATATCCGGGAGAGGATATTCGGGAAATGATATCCGGGAGAGGATATCCGGGAGATGATATCCGGGAGAAGATATTTGGGAGAGGATATGCGTGTCAGAAACTAGACGGGGGAATAGTTGCATTGAGAAGAAAGTTGGTACAAGTACTAACCCTAATTGGGTTGTACCCCTTATGGGTTACCCCACTACAACCTACACAATATAAACATTATAACAATTTGTGTCAAACATACGGTATATATATATGTTATAGTTTGGGTAGGCTTAGTGGGGTACTCACTGTGGGGTACAACCCCTTAGGTTTCTCCTTTGTACTAACCCTCTCGATAGTCAATTTCACTCATGCCTATACTCTAAGATGGTATCTAGAGCCTAGCCTAGAGGCCTTTAGGACCTAAGATTAGGGCCCACCCGTTACCACATTACCTCATTTGCCTGCCTGCCTTGCCTGCTGCCCGCGCGCGCCTTGGCTGCACGCGCGCGGCCCCATTTTTTTTCCCGCGCGCGTCACTTAAGCAGCCCGCGCGCGGCCCGTTTAGGCTCGTTTAGGCCCAGTTTCGGCCCCGCGCGCCACGACAGCCGCCCGCGCAGCCTGCCGCCGGCCCGCGCGCCGCGTAAGCCGCCCGCGCGCAGCCCACTTAGGCCCTG